CGTGACGCATAACAACCCTGATATGACTCAGCATGCGTGCTCCGAAGCGCTGGATTGTATGCAAGCTTACTATAAGGTACGTCGCACCCTGCAAGATTTCCGTGATCCTTTCTTCTCGTGAAGTAGCTATGCTGAGATACTTTCCCTCTCGCCAGATCGCCATTGAACGCTTCGTCGACGATGTTGCTGTCGAGGCTGTTGAGAAGGGTATCATCGCTAGACTGAACGATATTGTTTCGCCAGTCGAAGTCACTTCTCTGGCCTCCGATGTAGTGACAAACATTGCAGGCGAGTCTGGGGAGAGCCGAGCGAAGCGGAAGCAATTAGAAAACCAGCTGGATGTATTGGTGCAAGGGCTGGAGACATGTAACAGATTCATGATAAGAACTCTACAAGGTAAGCACATAATCGTGTTCTCAACAGAATCTTGCAAGTCTGATGATTATAGACTAATGATTGGCTGTGTCTAGGTGAAACGAGCGCCGCCGTCTTTGATAGTGGATCTGGGACTTTTCCGCCAGACGTGTCATTGAACTCTCCCTGCAGAGAATCGGGCGAAGTCATCACTAATGATGGGCTGGAGGAAGTTGAAGCATCTTCCAATACGGCTCACATTGAAGGGGATCTACCAACGGAGTCAGAAGCAGTACCAGACGAGGAATCTGAACCTGTGGATATGGGTTATCCTAGTGATTCTTCCTGAGTCTTTGTGTGGCCCACAAGGTCTTCCATGGTTGAAGTCGGCAACTCAGAAGAAGGGAACGGAGGGTTTTTATCACTTCTCGTACTGTCCTACCTAGCCAGAAGAACGACGGAAGGATGCGTGTCAGTTATGCAGGGCCATGGCGGTATCAAAACGTGTCTGACTGCCAATGTGTATCTCGATGCGAAGATTCTCATTCTTGGTTTCAGGTGTCGTGGCTTGTTCTCGTTCTGCCGGGTCCAGAGTTCTGACGTCAGTCAACAGTGATAACCTGGTCTATGGCAACGAATTAGCGGTCCTTTGTAGCTTAGCTAGTCGTTCTCTCATACTAATTCACCTTGCTCAACCATCACTTTTGCTTCATGCGAATCTTTAATATAACCAGTAAACCTGTCTCAAAGAGAAACTGCAAGATCCCGGGTCAAACTTTTCATGTTTCTTACACATATCTGGAAGGAATTCCATCAAATGAGTCGATGAAAACCACGAGCAGTGTTTATAAAAGAGTCGCGAACATACCCTCGCAACGGATCTTTTGCGAAGCGCTTCAATCATAGATTCCAGTAAGCTTAGAGTCACAAAGCCAGCCTGCAATAGCTCATTCGTTCGATCAACTTCGCGCAGCGTAGGTCGTATTGTTCAAGTTCATAAGGCGACAAATCTAGCCTCTCCATAACTCACGTGGCCACGAATCTTAGGTTTCACCCTCTTTCTTGTTTGTGGCCATGGTACAGGAGCCAGTGGAGATTAGGTCGAAAGCTCATAGGCGAACAAGACCAGGAGACGATCAATCTGCAGTCATCTTGCAAACAGCAAAAGTACGATTGTTGCATCAACGAGCCGATCCTGCCACTGCATGAATGTTTGCACCCCTTTGTTTCGGCATAGGACACACACCTTTGGCACTGTGGAAAGGTGATACGAGAGTGATGCGAGAGTCTTCTAGGGCAACAATCGTCCATATTGAGTATACGATCGTGCCCTATTATCTTGACTATGAGAGGCAGCGATGTAAATGAATGCACAGTTCTGTAATTCGAACAGAACACACGCGTACTTGTGTGCTGTCGTAGTTTAGTCGTGGGCGATATGGTAGAGTTCGTCGAGGAAGCAAAAGATCACCGCGCGATCGCGGGCGCTCTGACAGTAGGTTACAGTCTGTAATTCGCCAGTAGCGGACTCCGATTCAGGACTTGTAAGAGTGTAGACGAGAACGGGCCTTGAGCGAAGAGTCAGCAAGCGTGATCACTTCGTCAGGTGTGAAGGCTGTCTGCAGTGTGGTGCTGCGTCGTTGTGCTACGATCCTTTGAGCCGGATGTTAGCGGCTTCTCGTTGTCGCAGGGACGTCAACGCCTGTCTGTGCAGCGCCACCTACCCATGAATGGTAGCGGAAGATGGCGTGGTACTTGACATGATCCGCAAGATGGAGTGAGCGAAGAGGAAAGCGGCCATAAGGAACCGTTGTCGCCAGCGACTCGCTGCACTCCAACATGTTGAGCTACCCCGATTATGAACAGTTGTTCAGGCTAGTGTCATCACAGGCAGCTGAGCGGCATTGTACACATGGTGCGAAGGCTTATAGAGCGGTAGCACGGCGCCAAGTGCTCTGTATCCTGCTTGGAGCTTACCGAACTGGTACCGTGGCAATTGCCAATGGCGAACGAATCCAGAACGGGAACTATGAAATTTGTATGAAGAACAAGCTCCGGGCTTAGTGCTAGAAGTGAAACCCATTGGCGTATGCTTGATTTTGAAGCACGGATCTATGGCGGCTCGCGACAAGCGTCGCTGTACCGGGTCCAATTAGGGGGCCTGCCAATTTGCCCAAGCGACCCTGTTAGCTCCATGACAGTCAGTAACGCCCAGCAGCATTGCGCATCATGTTCTCACTACACCTTCACGTTGTTGAGGGATGGCGCCTATGGCTGAGTGACTCTGTGAGGAGACGCTTCGACGACTTCCACGATCCTTGATGCTAGTACCTGTCCCGCGTCGCCCTAGGCTACGCATCCTTAGCATCCCACGGGAAACGGAAGAGATCACACAGCAAACATATCGCCACCGAGATGTATGACCGAGACCCATCTTCTCGAAAGTGCCATCGCCTCGAAGACGCCGAGTATGGATCGTACGCAACCAAAGACGTCGAAAATACGCCACATTCAACCAAGCCGCAGCACTTGAAGTTGACAATCGGCAATGCAATCATAATATTCATGCAATACTTGCTGAGCGCCACGTCGTTGCCGCAGTCGCAGTCGCAGTCGCATAAAGCTGTAATAGAGGCGATGATGAATACCGGCTGCCGCATCAGAGAGTTGTTGTGGTTACCACTCAAACACCCTACGTATTCTGCTTTGAGGTGACGCGGAAGAGGGGAGGTGTCCGAGTAAGGATGATATCCTAGCTAACACGCAATCATTAGCTGTCCGTAGACACTTAATTATGACACGAATTCATAGTGATGATGATTATGCGTAGTGTAACGAAGAGTAGAGATTTGGCGTTTGGTGAATAAATCGACGTCGCGCGCACGTTTACCTGTTTTTGTGCGGCTTTCCCCCTTTCCTACAAAGCACTGAGCCAACATGCACGCCCAGTGCGCACTAAGCTACTTCCAGTATAGTACAAGCGACAACTGAAACCAAGCCTCCCCCTGTCAGCAGCTATATAAGATGCAGACTTAGCATGTTTACAGCAGAGCTTACCACCATTTTCGATAACCTCCGTTGATTGTACACATTTTCATCATTGAGAACAACCTCGAGCATCTCGAAAGCCGCTCCTTCTCTGTTGCTCTTCAATGTCAGACTGCGCTCCCAAAGGAAAAAGTCGTCTCGCGGATTATGTCACTCGATTGTTCGGGAGTACGGAGCCTCCTGCCTCAACCAACAAGATCCGTATCTATTGGATGGATGAGGTAAGAATTCCACCGAAGACGAGGACAAGACCTTTAATGAAAAGCAGAATGGCTATAAAAGTCACGACGATTACGAGGAAGTAGCGATCGACGGGCTAAAACGATTACAACAAACTTTGCACGAGGCAGACGTGTGTACGTGGCGCGAGAAAGAAACAATCTGCAGTGTGTGCCGTAAAACAATACAGTAGTTGCAAGATACATGGTGTCATGCAGATTAACATAATTAACTCTCATAGAACATAACTAGTATTAATATCAATGATGGAGAATGATCCAGGGAAACTTGGAAAATAAGAAAGTCTTATAGTGTGCATCCTTCGTCAAGCATCAGCCGCCGTGATGGACAAAATTATAGGCAATGTCCATCCCTGAGACGAGACGATTTCGCACTCTGACCTTCGAAAGACTAAAAATGTAAGTTAACGGAGCTGTAACTAGGGTATGTATATAGATCCATGATTAGTCAGCGAAGGCCGCAGACTCTCGAGAAGTTGCTTGGTCGGCTCCGGCACACCAGGATGTCTGTCAAGAAAGGATGTACGTTTGAGCATGGAGATAAAATTATCTATTTTAAGTAACGCTTCAACACATGTCCACTTCGTAAGCTGCGCAGCCACAATAGCCACCTTCCTGTTAGCCTGGAGTGAATGACACGCTACTCGTATTGTGAGTGTGGGGTCGGTGCTGCATTGACTGTATCAGGAAGCTACTACGATCTTAGGTATCGACCGGAGTGGCAACTACATATAGACGAGCGCGCGATAATCACCACAAGGCTCGCGGTGACTTTGTATGCCTAAAGTAATACCAAGAAGCCTAGATGAATTAGTTTATCAGCTCGACAGAGTCTCAGGGGTCAGGCGCCATGCTGTATGATTGTATGATGTCGGCTTGAACTTCAGTACATTAGGCTTGACTCTGCACGGCGTGCAGGCGTCAACGACGGCATAAATTTCGTATCCTCAAGTAAAGAAACAAGCCAAAGTTAAATTAAGGTAAGGAGCTACGAACAGGGGATTAAAGATTAAACACACGGACATGAAAGATTTCAAATGTTCGGTCTTAAAGTCCCTGCTGTCCATCTCGCGACGGGATGCGTCTCGTAACCTAGGGATCGACATCATTTTATCGATACTTATGAAGCTGGCCAGACGGCTCTTTAGCAAGTCTTGTGAAGAAGATGAAGGAGATGCAGACTTGTTTCGCTACATATTATGCATTAGAGGTATTTCATGTCACAAGTGTCCGAATCCAGATTAAACAAGTGGTCAAAAAGGAAGGCGCCACTCTAGACGACAGTGAACAAACGAGATCTATAGCATGCTATAGGTGATGCACTTGTGCTACTTTATCAAAAACCTCTACTCCGAGCATTTAATTATCCTTTTTGTCCTTCTTAGACATCGAGTCAATGAATGTTGCCTTCAGACTTGAGATTTCGCCAATCTCGGCCTGAGTCTTGGGCTCGGTCGGAAGGATTCCGCGCGCGATCGTATCCACAATCATCTTGCAAGAGAAAGCAGGCGTCTCGGAGCTTCTGTTCCATCTCAAGACAGACGCGCAGCCCCCACTTGATTATCGAATGCAGTTGCTAGAGCCTGTGTCGAGACATCGGCTAAAGTTGCTTGTGGAAGACTAGCAGGTTGTGATGACGACAAATTGGCGTTCGCGAGGGTTGAGATGAATACTACGGGTAGCGTAACATCTTCGTCGCATCTGTTCGTCCATTGCGGTACACAGTCGGGAAAACTGTCGCGCATCCTCAACTTCCCCTGCTTCTGAGCATCCCGGTCGTCGAACTGTCCGAAAGCGGCTCGCTTGCCATTACTGTTCGCGCATGTAGACATCTCTCCGTAGCTCCTTGCTCTTGCCTCCATGTTTGCCTTCGGTCGCGTTCGGGTCTTGATGTTGGGTCCTCGTCCGATGGAGGAAGTTGACGACAACTCTGCGAGCACGCTGATGGGCATGTGTACGCTGGTCTCGCAGGCTTGTGTCATGCGATTCTTCTGTCTTCCAGACCCATCACAGTCTAGCTTGGAGCCTGTGTTCCTCACGCCATGATCGGACAGCTTGGAGTGCAGCAGGACGTGGCGACATGCTAGGTATAATTCTCGTTCCGTAAGTTCATCGAGGATACGGCGGTTGATCCAGGGCGATTGGTTGCATATGCCGTCTTTGAAGGTATGCCTGTCGTGTGATGTCGAGGGCCGCGAAGGGGTTGGTTCTGGCGTGGGGATATCGAGGAGGATTAACTTGGAGGCGATGTTCTATACAACTGCGACTTACTAGTAAGAATATGACTGGAGACAAAGACTAGGAACGAGACATACGATGAGCGTTCGGTTACATTGAAACCTTCGCCGCTTCATGGTTGTTGAGTAGGTACGGGAACCAGAAGTGCCGCCTCGGATACAACATGGCTGCAGAGCGCTGTAAAAGTACTACAGTTCTAGCGACCACGTAGGGGATACGCGTGCGGGACGTCGGTGAAGTTTGGTCGGCTAGAGATAGCTAGCGTAGAATAGGATGCAACCGACTGCTAGCCGTGGAGAATTCCGACATGTACTTGTGGGGTAACCGATCGTCTGAACGGGTGCTTAGCGTCCATGCAATGAATAAGTCTGCGGGTCGTCGATCAAATCATTGTCGCCCACCCGCACGCGCCTCCCGGACACGCTCAACAACCACAGCCAGCGATATCTTTATCTCCCGCATGCCCTAGTCATCAACGGAAGCAACATTTATTCCTCTTTCTTCAACAGAACGAGCCGGATACGCCCATCGGAAACAAGTGGCGCTGCGGCTCCACGAATACCGTGTTCGTGCACACAATGCACGCCGTCAGTCAATGCACGCGCATCACCAAAACAGGCTACACAGAATGGAGGTTGTAGAGCCACACACAGAGGTCGTTATACTAAGGAAACTCAACAGAGTACTTCATAGACCTTTGCGACCAACTTTTTCACTAATGCATCCCTGGCTAGAGGATTTTGCGGCCGCGAGTGTGGGTGTGGCGGTGTTGGGACACGCGCTGTGCGCGAGGCACCGCCTATATTATCTCTAGTACTACGTTTCTGCTTCTTCCTTGGTGCGAGTTGTTGTGAAGCCTTGCGCTTGCCTGTAGATGGTCTTTGGATAGCTTAGTGATGCTCGTGAGCCTGCCTTTGACGCTGTTCCTCTGCCTTGTGCTGGGCAACCTCCTTGATCTGCTCATCCTTCAGTCGGTCGCGCTCTCTCCTCTCTTTTGCACGCGCATCACGCTTCTTCTGCGCAATTTTCCGATTATCAAGCTCATCAACTTTGGCAAGCTCGCTCATGTCAACCCTCTCATCGTCCTCTCTTCTCAAATGTGAGGGCTTCAAGCAGACCATCATGCTCGACCCGTAAGAGGGTGTGCTGTATCGGCATGGAGTGGAGCGACTGCCAGATGTTAGACGAGTCTCTCTCTGATGCA